TAGAGGTTCTCTTCCGGAGCTCCGTACCTGAGAGCTCCCCCCCGACTAGAGCCCTGTGTGTACTAGTAAACATGTGCTGAGTATCACTCTGTTTCCTGATCATTCGATGCGTAGAACCCACTACACAACAGCATGTCAAGGCTGGAAGCGGGTTTCTCTTTCAGTTAGCAAGTATGAGTGCATCCATTTCGAAACTCACCTTTCCTCTCCCCCACCCTAAAGAACACCCAATAGGTAACTAAACAGTAATTGCTACCCAACTGGCACACGTGCGATAATCGTACTTCCCAGGGCTATTTTTGGGCCAAAATGCACAGGAACGGAGTTCCGGCTGGCTCCGGAGTTGGCCATGCCCAGCAAAAACTCATTAGCATAACAGGCCACACCCAACAGCAGAAACTCATTAGGATTGGCTACATGAGGGGTGTGTGGCCTAACATGCAAAGGAGTTCCCGCTTAAAAAAAAGCCCTGGGTTTGGACAACAGGTAAACAGAATAACAAGGAAAAGGTGAGTGTGGCTGGATGACCACACTTCTGGTGACATGGTAACAAAAACTACAGAAGTAGTTCAGTGTAAACCGCTCTGAGACCCATTGGGGGTCCTAATGAGTTTCTGCTGTTGGGTGTGGCCTATTATGCTAATGAGTTCCTGCTGGACTTTTTCTGCAAAAAGAGCCCTGGAAAAGAGCAAGAGTCCAGGAGCACCCTCAAGACTAACACGATTACAAATTACAAGGGAGTCGTTACTGGCTAAATATCAGGAGAATAAATATCAGAGTGCTTGAGCAGTGGAGCAGACTGCCTCGGGAGGTGGTGGATGCTCCTTCGCTGGACGTTTTCAAGCGGAGGCTGGATAACCATCTTTTGAATATGTTGTAGGTATGTAGGGCATGCTATGATTCTACGATTTGTGGCAGGGGGTGAGCTTTCGTGAGTATCTGAAGACGCGAGCAAAGTGACTCAAGAAAGCTCCTCCCCTGCCACAAATTTTGTTTAGGGGCCCCCTGGACCCTTGCTCTTTTCCCCTGAATTTAGGCAGCCCGGGGGGGGGGGACAGGAAGGGACGAGCCACTGCTTGGGTCCCATGGCCCTTTATTACATGACCAAGGTAATGCCCATCACCATGTTGGGATCTGGGGCAAGTGATGCTCTGTATTCTTGGTGCTTGGGAGGGAGGGCAACAGTGGGAGGGCTTCTAGTGTCCTGGCCCCACTGCTGGACCTCCTGGTGGCACCTGGTATTTTTGACCACTGTGTGACAGAGTGTCGGACTGGATGGGCCATTGGCCTGATCCAGCATTGGCTTCTCTTATGTTCGGGGGGGGGGCAACAGTGGGAGGGGTTCTAGTGTCCTGGCCCCACTGCTGGACCTCCTGGTGGCACCTGGTATTTTTAGCCACTGTGTGGCAGAGTGTTGCTGGATGGGCCTTTGGCCTGATCCAACATTGGCTTCTCTTATGTTCTTACAAGAGGGAATTGGATAAGCATATGGAGCAGAAGTCCATCAGTGGCTATTAGCCACAAGGCATAGATAGGAACTCTCGGTCTGGGGCAAGGGATGCTCTGTATTCTTGGTGCTCGGGGGGGGGGGCAACAGTGGGAGGGCTTCTCGTGTCCTGGCCCCACTGATAGACCTCCTGGTGGCACCTGGTATTTTTGGCTACTGTGTGACAGAGTGTTGGACTGGATGAGCCACTGGCCTGATCCAACACTGGCTTCTCTTGTGTTCTTATATGGAGCAGAAGTCCATCAGTGGCTGTTAGCCACAAGGTATAGATAGGGACTCTTGGTCTGGGGCAAGTGATGCTCTGTATTCTTGGTGCTTGGGGGGGGTCAACAGTGGGAGGGCTTCTAATGTCCTGGCCCCACTGCTGGACCTCCTGATGGCCCCTGGTATTTCTGACCACTGTGTGACAGAGTGTTGGACTGGAGGGGCCATTGATTTTTCTTATGTTCTTATGATCAGGAAAGGATTTTCTTCCAGGCCAGATTGGCCCAGGGATCCTGGAGATCTTTTGCATTCCTCGGTGTATAGGGTAGGGGTCACTGGGGGAGTGGGGGAGAGAGGCAGGTGTGAATTCCCTGCATTATGCAGGGGCTGGACTAGATGACGCTTGAGGTCTCTTCTACGAACGTGTTTTAAGATTACATTACACTGTGCATTAAATTATTTTCTTGTGTGACACCTCCCCCCCAAGTCTATAATAATAATAATAATAATAGAAGAAGAAGAGGAGGAGGAGGAGGAGATTGGATTTATACCCCACTCTTCACTATCTGAAGGAGTCTGAGAGCAGTTTACAATCTCCTTTCCCTTTCCCTTCCCCTCCCCACAACCGACACCCCGTAGGTGGGGCTGAGAGTGCTCTTTTGAGGTCTGCTTCTGAGAGAACAGTTCTGAGAGAACTTGTGTCTGACCCAAGGTCACACCAGCAGCTGCATGTGGAGGAGTGGGGAATCCAACCCGGTTTGGTGTAGCCAGTTTGGTGTAGTGGTTAAGTGCGCTGACTCTTATCTGGGAGAACCGAGTTTGATTCCCCACTCCTCCACTTGCACCTGGCTGGATGACCCTGGGCAAGCCGTAGTTCTGATAAGAGCTGTTCTTGAAAAAGAGCCGTTTCTGTCAGAGCTCTCCCAGCCCCACTGCCTCACAGACTGTCTGTTGTGGGGAGGGGAAGGGAGAGGAGTTTGTAAGCCGCTCTGAGACACCTTTGGGTAGTGAAGGGTGGGGCATAAATTCAATCTCTTCTTCCTCTTCTTCGCTTCTTCTTCTCCCAGATTCGAGTCCGCGCACTTAACCACTACACAAGAGGAGGAGGCAAGCCGTTAAAAGAGGCCACTCGGAACCCAGGTGCATCTCCAGAGCTGGCATTGGAATGGGTGGCTGGTGCGTTTATGTGCTAAGCAGTGCTCCCTCTAAGCTGTGGAGTCTTGTGAGCAAAAATTCTGCTTTGTGAACTACCGGCATTAAAGTAATGAGCGAGCGATTTGTCTGCTGCATCAGTTAGTTTGATCTGGAGCCATCCCTTCCTGAGTTCAGACAAAAATGTATGCGCCGAGGACTCTTTGTCTGAGCAGGGGGCAGCAGCCCCGAAGAGTCCCTATAAGCCGTGGAAGAGAGGGGGGAAGGCTGAAGGACTCTGAATGGTGTCTTTGAGAACTTTGGTTTTTGGGGATGATTGGGGGTACTGTTATTGGGCAGTTAAATATAAAAGTGGGGGGTAAAAGGTTTTAAATGTTTGACTCAGTTTATAAAAAGAGCAATGATGATAGACTTGATATTACTAAGCTTGTTAGATGATCTCCTCTCTTGGGTTTTTAGATAGTAGTGGGTTCTTTACTTTCTCCTGTATGTGTAGTTTTCCCCTCCCCTTTTTTCTGTTGTAGTTTTTTGTAGTGATAAAAAATTAAAAAATATCCCCTCCGGGGGCTTAAAAAAAAAGTATGCGCCGGAGGCTAAAAAAACTGTGAGCTAACTCACACTCACTCAGCTAAGAGGGAACACTAGCTTCCCTCCATTGATCCTACTGGCCACCCGATTGCAATTTCAGCTGTGCAGATGCACCTGGGCTCCTAACGGCTTACCGCCCCGCCCCCCACCTTCTTTATTCCCCTGTAGCTAGCTTTTGAGATTTTATTCCAGTTTTGTCTGAAGTGTGTCTTGCACACGAAAGCTTACGCTTTGAATAAAACTTTGTTGGTCTCAAAGGTGCCGCTTCACTTGAATTTTTGTTCTATGATAGAGTTGTGGGGGGGGGAGAGAAGGACATGCATCTCCCTGAGCCCCTTGGAGGACGGGCAACATCTCCCTGAGCCCCTTGGAGGACGGGCAAAGGAACGGTGAAAATGGCTACAGCGTGAACGTTCCAAATGGTACCCCGCACGCAATTACGGCTGCGGCGCAGGGAGACATTTTTGCAAAGTGGTCACTGTCTGCCCTGCAGAATCTGTGGAGGGCGACCAGCCCGGGCTGTTACTCATGTTGATAGTGGAGATCTCAAGACACGTGTTGAATAAACAGCTAGCCCTTGGAGAATAATCTGGTCAGATCTACCCAGGGCTTTTTTTTGTAGAAAAAGCCCAGCAGGAACTCATTAGCATAATAGGCCACACCCAACAGCAGACACTCATTAGCATATTAGGCCACGCCCTTGACAGCACAGCACATTAGCATATTAGGCCGCACCCCCATGTTACCAGAAGTGTGGTCATCCAGCCACACCCACCTTTTGCTTCTTATTCTGTTTACTTTGTTGTCAAAACCCAGAGGGGGGGTTTTTTGTAGCAGGAACTCCTTTGCATGTTAGGCCACACACCCCTAATGTAGCCAATCCTAATGAGTTTCTGCTATTGGGTGTGGCCTATTATGCTAATGAGTTCCTGCTGGGCGTGGCCAACTCGGGAGCCAGCCGGAACTCCGTTCCTGTGCGTTCCTGCCCAAAAATAGCCCTCGATCTACCCTTATGATAACACTGACATGATAACACTGTCTGGGAGAGCGCACACATGAACATACATGAAGGTGCCTTCTACTGAATCAGGCCATCGCTCCATCGAACTTAGTATTGTCTACTCAGACTGGCAGTGGCTCTCCAAGGTCTCAGGCAGAGGTCTTTCCCATCACCTATTTCCTGGTCCTTTTAACTGGAGATGCCAAGGATTGAACCTGGGACCTTCTGCATGCCAAGCAGATCCTCTGCCACTGAGTTATGGCCTCTCCCCAATGAAGATGCCTTAGATCAGGCCCTCGGTTCATCAAGGTCAGTATTGTCTACTCAGACAATAAGCTGCTCTCCAGGGTCTCAGGCTGAGGTCTTTCCCATCACCTACCACCTGGGTCCTTTCAACTGGAGATGCCGGGGATTGAGCCTGGGACCTCCGGCATGCCAAACAGAGGCTCTGCCACTGAGCCACAGCACCCCACCTATTGAGGGAGCATTACATGTTCATGTTCCGTTTTGGGGAGGAAACAGGTAACAAATTCTTCATTTTCGTTGCAGGTGCCAGAAGCCAGGAGCTGGAGGTGCTACAGACCCAGGGGCCCTTGAGGGTGACCACGGGAGAGACTCTCGATCTCAACTGCACATTGAAAGGGTTCGGTCCACCGGGGGGCGTCAGGTGGTACAAAGGCTCGGACAGAGGCCAGCCTCCCGTTTACAATGATAAAGCACCACCTCCATCGTCCCAAGTGGCCAGGGTCACTCCTGGGTCAAACATGGACTACAGCATCCGCATCAGCAACATTCAGCCCGACGATGCCGGGACCTACTACTGTGTGAAATACAAGGCAGGATCCCCGGAAACGGAATATAAATCGGGAAAGGGCACTGAGGTTTTGGTGATTGGTGAGTACCATCAAAACCCCACTTGTGACGGAATGGGTACAGGGCAAGCAGTCCGTAAGTCCCTTGCCTCTCTGGGACTGGCCATTGAGGAAGCTGAACTCTTGATGTGCCTAAGGGCCTTTGGGGCAGCGCTTTGGTTCAGCAGTTAGAGCCAGTGACTGGGAGACAAAGAGAAGGAGAGAGACTTTTTTCCTTCTAAAGGGAGGCCTAGACATTTTTCCCCGCCCCCCCTGCCAGGCAGCTGCTTCTCCATCACATCCCTCTGTTTCTTCCCATACCAATCAGACATCACATTTAAAGGGACACTGTATTCCTGCCAACCTAGCAGTTCGAAAGCAAGAAATTGCAAGTAGATAAATAGGGACCACTTCGGTGGGAAGGTAACAGCGTTCCGTGCACCTTGGTGTTTAGTCATGCCGGCCACATGACCACGGAAACGTCTTCGGACAGCGCTGGCTCTTCGGCTTTGAAACGGAGATGAGCACCGCAACCCTAGAGTTGGATTTGACTGGCTTTCGAGCAAGGGAACCTTTACCTTTACCTTATATTCCATTTAAATGCCTTCCCTGCATTGGAAATAATGGAGAATGGGGGCACTGTTTTGGGGGCTCACAGAATTGGATCACGTGGTCCAATCTTTTTGAAACTTGGGGGGGGGAGGCACCAGATGCTGTGCCAAAATATGGTGTCTCTGCCTCAAAAAAACAGCCCTCCCTAGAGCCCCGGATACCCATTGATCGATTCTCAATTATACCCTATGGGGACCGGTCTCTATAGGGTACGACGGAGCACCCAGTGGACATTCCCCCCTCCTTCACTTTCCGATGACCCTGAAACAGGGGGAGGGCCTCCAACCCGGGGGATCCCCTGCCGCCAACGGAGGATTGGCAACCCTAATTTCCCATCCCTCTGTTTCTTCCCACACTTATCAGCTGAGTGACCAGCCCATGGGGAAAGTTCCACACAGATGCCCACTTAGAGGCTCTGGGTTCATGTTTAGAAGCAGGTAGAGTTATCAAGATGCAGGAAAGAGGGAGGGAAGAGACAGAGAATCCCCAAATAAAAGGAAGCACACTTTCTAATCTGGCAAGATTCGAACCCAGTAGCACCTTTGTGTCTGTGGAAAGTGCTCTCAAGTCACAGCCGACTCATGGCAACCCCAGTGAGGGGCTGTCAAGGCAAGTGAGAAGCAGAGGTGGTCGGCCAATGT